AAAATTCTAAATAAAAAGCACATCCTCATGTGTTGTGTTTTACTTGCTTGATGTAAGTGGTGATATTTGTCTGCTAAAAACACTATAGACAAAATGTGAATACGCAATATTAAAATATGCAGATTTTTTGGGGGGGGGAAGGAAGTGGAAAACAAACAAACAGTCAGTCCTTCTTTTATCAAGCAACAAAAAAGGGCCTAAATCAAAGTTTGATTTCCCTTCAAGTCACCTTTATGGTGAAAAGCAGTTGATCTCATAATACAGTAGAACCTCAAAGATACGAACACCAGAATTAAGGACTGACCTGTCAACTGGACACCATGTGAAAAGTAACCAATCAGACAGCAGCAGAGACACCAAAAAAAGCAAATACTGTATGGTGCCTATACCGCATCTTAAAGGTAGGCACATCTGGGCTACCCCAGGGCACCCACTTATAGCTAGGAATTGAAGATGCTGAGATTTCCAGGCAAAGCTGTGAGCCCCTGCTGCCAGTCCAAGGCAGCCGGAGCAGGAGCAGCATTAGATCCTGGCTGCTTTCCTATAATCCATGAGTGCTGTTTTCATCTCCTCTCGGCAGGCCTGGGTACTGTTCTCCTGCCCACCCCTGGGGATGCACTGTTTTCAACACCATCCCCCCTTCCACCATCCCCCCTTCCTTAGAAGGAAGCTAACTAGCTGCCTCCAGAACCTGGCCTGGAGTGTTAACTGCTGGAACCGGAGCTGCATTGTGTTCAGAGTCACCAACATTTCAGAGTTACGGACAACTTCCATTCCTGAGGTGTCCGTAACTCTGAGGTTCTACTGTACTGAGTGCTTGTCTACATTCACAATATCGGAGAGCTTCTCCCGTGAGAGTAGGTACTCCATCTCCCTGATAGGCAGTAGCTAGAAGCCCTCCCATCAATACAGTGCTCTCTACTCTGGGAGTCCAGTCAGTTTAACTGCGTCGCTCATGGGTATTTTACCCTATACTACACAGATTTCACAGGGGAGACCAGCATTTCTCAAATTGGGGATCCTGACCCAAAAGGGAGTTGCAAGGGGATCACAAGATTATTTTGGGGGGGTCGCGGTATTGCCACCCTTACTTCTGCGCTGCCTTGTGAGCTGGGCGGCAGGAGAGTGGTGGCTGTTGGCTGGGTGCCTAGTTCTGAAAGCAGCACTCTGCCAGCAGCAGCGCAGAAGTAAGGGTGGCAATACCGTACAATGCCACTCTTACTTCTGTGCTGCTGCCTTGGGAACTGGGTGGCTGGAGAGTGGAGGCTGCTGACTGAGGGCCCAGCTCTGCAGGCACCAGTGCAGAAATAATGGTGGTAATACCATACCATGCCATCCTTACTTCTGTGCAGCTGCTGGTGGCTCTACTTCAGAGCTGGGCTCCTGGCCAGCAGTCACTGCTCTCCAGCTGTCCAGATCTGAAGGCAGAGCAGTCACCAGCAGCAGCGCAGAAGTAAGGGTAACAGTACCACAACCGCCCCCATAATAACCTTGCAACCTCCCCACAACTCCTTTTTGGGTCAGAACCCCTACAGTTATAACACCATGAAATTTCAGATTTAAATAGATGAAATCATGAAATTTATGATTTTTTAAATCCTACAACTGTGAAATTGACCAAAATGGACCATGAATTTGGAAGGGCCCTACACATCTATTATTTCACATAATACACAGTCATCAATATTTCTTTAGATGTATTTTGATAAAAAGTCACACACACACACCCTCCCATCCTACAAGTTACAGTGTAGAGCAGGGATGGGCAAATTACGGCCCGCAGGCCGGATCCAGCCCATCAGGGCTTTGGATTGCCACTCCCGTGGCGCCACGGGGCTAAGGCAGGCTCCCTGCCAGCCCTGGACCCTGGCTGCTACCGGAAGCATCCAGAACCACATCCCTGTGGCCCCTGGGGAAGGTGTGGGGGGCAGAGGACTCCTCGTGCTGCCCTCGCCTGCAGGCACTGCCGCCCCACAGCTCCCATTGGCCAGGGACAGGGAACCGCAGCCAATGGGAACTTCGGGGGAGGTAGCATGGGGGGAGCCCACACCCCATACCCTCCTGCAACCCAAACCCCAACCCCCTGCCGCACCCCTCCTGCATTCCAACACCCTGCCCTGAGCACCCTGTCGCACCCTGCACCCCAACCCTCTGCCCTGAGCTCCCTGCCACACCCCTCCTGCACCCCAATCCCCTGCCCTGAGCCCCCTCTCACACTCCACACCCCTCCTGAACCCCAACCCCTGCCCTGAGCCCCCCCATACTCCGCACCCCTCCCTGCATCCTAACCCCCTGCCCTGAGCCCCCTCTCACACTCCACACCCCTCCTGAACCCCAACCCCTAGCCCTGAGCCCCTCGTACATCCCACACTCCTCCAGCACCCCTTGCTCTTGCCCCGAGCCCCTTCCTGCACACCACACCCCCTCCCACACCCCACACTCCCTCCTGCACCCCAACCACCTGCCCCAGCTCTACATTCATGGCCCTGCATGCAATTTCCCCACCCAGGTGTGGCCCTCAGGCCAAAAAGTTTGCCCACCCCGGTGTAGTGGCAGATCCTTGTTCCTGTCCTGAGACCCATAAACATTGTAACTCACAAGATTAAGGCCTAAGTTATTTCACAGGTTCACAGGTTCCCTGGATTCCTCCTCCACTTTCAGAAGGAGTAGAATGCCCATGATATTTCATCTTTCTTATTTTGTTTCTCCAATTATAAATAATTTCATCTGATCCAAGATAAAGTATACAGATGAATGGTAAAATAACTACATTTACATCAATAAATTAATCTATATAGCTGCAGGTTGAATTTGTATTGCTTCATAAAATGAACTGTCATGTCCTGCATATTAAACAGGATAGTTTATACAAAAACTCTGGACAAGCTCAGCGTAGCTGGTGCAAATTGGCCTAGCTCTGTTAGATCTGGCCCTAAGGCTAAGGAATAGCAGGCTTGATTACGCACTGCCTCACACTTTGTGTGTAGTCATTTACTCTTGTGCAAAATGAATGAAAAAGGGATATAAACCCTATATAAGCAGGATATTAGTGTTTTACATCCACTTTGCATAAATGTAATGACAGCTCTGAGCCTGATTCACAAATTAATTACTCCAGTTTTAGGCTGGTTCTAGCCACTGGAGTTACATCAATCTAAACCTGAAGTAATGCAATGGAGAATCAGACCCATAAGGTGCAAAACAGTGTAAAGTGTGGCCATACCATCTAAGTCTTGATAGGTCAGCCTAAAAATGCAATTCCATGCTCAATTGCAAAAGCACCTGTCAAAGTTCGGCTAAGAGCAATACAGGGTCAGATACTGCCTAACTTACACTGAAATACGAGTGGAGTTAACTATATCCAAGAGGCTGTTCACGCCCTCTTCTGAATTAAGTGGAGTTACCCAATGCCACTGACTTCAGTGGGGCCAGAATTTCACCCTGATGTCAGGTTCACTGGGCAGGGCCTAACTATGAAGTGTGATGATGGTGGCAGCAGTTCCCTCAATACAGGACATCTGACTTGTTGATGGAGCCTAACTAAAATGTCCAGGTGTGGCAGGAGGAGAACTTAATGTTTTATTTTAAAAAAAGGAAGTACCTCACTGGGAGTAGATTATACAGTTTCAGTTACATTTCATAGGCATGAAACTGGTTCCACAAACTACTGTAAATCAGCAGAACTTCATTAACTGCAATAGGCTAGGCCGATTTACAACAGTTGAGAATCTGGCCCAGTCTCTTTATATAGCTGTCATTAAAATTGCTGTATAAATAAGCCAAGACACATTTCCAAAGTTAATCTGATTTTTCAAGCCTATATAGAAGTTTACCACTAGAGGAATTCCCTTTGCGAAACAAGGTGTGTTGAACAACTTTAATACTAAAAATGCAGTATATATATTTTGTCATCTGACACAAAAGTTTCCACTGTATCTAGAGTTTATGTTTGAGTACAAAACTTTAACATATTTTCTTAGATCACCCATTTTTCACAGTTTGGATTACAGGGCATTTGAACTATAGCTATTTGGCCAAGTTCATCCTTGGGCTAATTCTGCAAATCCTTCAAGTTTTTGAAAATTAGAAACTCTGAGATGAGGTAAAGACATACCAGTGCTGCCACTTAGATAATTATCACAGCACACAGATCACATTTCATAAAGAAAAAAAATAATTGCATGAAAAATAAGTCTAAACATATTACCAGGATCCAATAAAGATAATTGAAAAGGTTTTTCTGACAAACTGTCACATATTCTTGCTTATTGTTCAATGCGGTAGTTTCCTAATTCACTTATTCCAACTCATCTAAATGTCATATGTTCTCTAATAATCCCTCATATTTCACTCCTTGAAAATGTCATGAAGTAGTGATAAAAATAAAGCAAACCCTTTTAGTATGTTGGTATTGTTTGTCTGCACTGAGATTCATTAAAACTTAACCTTTCAAAATATATTTAATGTTTACTAGCCAAGTGAAAAAAAGCACATCATTGCAAAATGTGCATTTGTGTGCATTTCAGAAGTGATCCTATTGGTATTTATGTACTTAAAGATATTTCTTACTCTCTTCCACAAAATGTGTCTTCTCAGATCTGATCTGAGAAATAGTAATCGATACAGAGAAAAATTTTACTCTCAGTTATACAGATATAAACCTGGGAATAGCTCCAATGACTTGAATGGATTTAACTGGGTTTAAATAGTAAGAGTAAAATTAAGATTAAAATGAGCAGGGATGTCTTGAAAGAAGTTGAAACTTAACATCCTGCAGGACAGAAAGAGACACTCCATATATTATATAGCACTAAAATGATGTTATCAATTCATTTATTAAAATTAATCATTAATGTTTCCTCCCCTCTGTTTAAATATTAAAATGATAATGTTTATCAAGCACTGCCAACCACCATTTCAGAATTAAACAGATTTGATTGCAAAAATATTGTTATTTTTTAAATAAATATTTATGAAGAGCAAAATAATGCAGTATCTACTTGCTAATAGTTCCTGTAGCTGCAGACGTCTAGGTAGCGATCATTTTGACTCAAGGTTTTTTCACGTAGTGCGTTCCTTTAAAAAAAAAAGTAAATTTTAATTAGTTGTGTTTAAAAAGGCCCCATGTGAGTACAACTAGGTCAGAATTTGTGCTGAAAAGAATACTGTGAAAGAAGTCCTTATAACAAATGTCTGATGCTGGGAACCTGCCCGCCTGTTAGGTTACATGCACCACTGTTTCACTGAGGCTACTCAATCTAAACCAGCAAACTTGGGGGGAAGGGCAGGAATGTGGGTTGGGAGGAAGATATTTTCTAAAAAAATGGGAACACTGATGGCCAAATCTCAAATCCAGTGAAAAATCATTCAATTAGCAATCTTTTCCTCACCCTTCTGTAAGGCCCACGATCTAGTGTGTTACACCCTTGTCTCGCCCATCCACTTCAAACTCCTATGCCATGACAACTGAGAATAAACAAGATGGAATATTTAAAGTGCTGGACATGTATATGGAGGGGGTTGGAAAAGTGGCAGGAACAGTACTGCCAACCTCCAGAATCCAAAAAAATCATAAGCCTGGCTTAAAATATTATGAGAAAGGAAGGGAGAGAAAAAAAAAGGCGGGGGGGGGGGTAAAAAAAGTTTTCAGTTTTGAAAAAAAGCTTTTTTTCTTGTTTTTGTTTTCTTTTTTCCCACTGGAAAAATATTAAGAAAATTTAAAAAAATTAACTTTCCACAAAAAAACACTGTTTCGTAAAAATAATAATAATAATAATAATAATTCCTAAGAAAAAAGTTCTGAAAGAAAAAATTCAACCCTCTTTAGTTAGAATTTTGGTAGCTTCTTTGGTTTGGTAACATGCAACTACCTGAATTTCTGGCCATGCAAATTCCACATGTGGACAGAGAATTCCAGGAATTCTGACTTCTGAGTTTTACAAATAGAGCTGGTTTTAATTTTTCCAATGTAACATTTTGTGAGAAAATGCCATTTCATTGAAATCAACTTTCCAAGTTGATTTTAATTAAATTTCATTTAGAAAAAAAACGAACAAGGCATTCTGATAAGGTTGAAATATTCTGTTTCAACCTTAGAGAGGCAAGGTGGGTGAGGTAATATCTTTTATTGGTCACCCACCATGTCTCTCTAATATCCTGGAACCAACACGGCTACAACTGTACTGCATACAACTGTTTCAACCTTATCAGAAGGCAATGTTTTCATTTTTTCTTTTGAAACAACTTTTCATTAAGAAATTTATTTTATATTACATTACAATAAAGAAACAAAGTCAAAATCAAAATGAAACCTTTCAAAATGGAGCATTCCGCCCAACCCAAAATGCATAATTTATGTACATTTTGTTTCACAGGAAATGAGAAATTAGACTTTTTTTGGTTTTGGTCTGACTCAGTTGAAAACAAATGCTGAAATGTCAGTATCTCCTGTGAAGCAGAAATTCCAATTTCGACCAGTTCTAGTCTCAAGGCAATAAAGTAATTCCTGCTACAAACAAGAAGAAGGGCCACTGTCTGTTTAGGCTTCAAAAATATACCTTCCTTAGATACAAGTGAATCACATACAACATCCCCAGAGAACCCTATACCTAATATGAACTTTACTGATGCATTTAACCCACAACGCATTCGGGGAGGTGAGAGAGGCACATGGGGATGAGAAGGGACTGCCCAGCTATAGGAAACCCTAGAGACAGTCAACAACTCAGCCACTGGAATACTGAAAGGGCTAAAAAATACAGAACCAGCCAGATGAAACTAAACCAGTAACTAAATCCAGGATGCTGTTCATTTATTCTTCAGGATTCTTTAAACTAACATTTGACAAGAGCACAATACATATGTAGCCAGTTACAATCACCCACATCTCAAGTCAAATACACACCCTGAAAATAAAATACAACTCAAGCAAATAAAATAAAATAAGTATAAGGATTAGGGTTTTTTTGTTTTTGTTTTTGTCTTTTTGCTAGTATTTCAAGAATAAAGTGGGTAAGAAAAACAGCAACATTTAAAAGTCTTCTACAGATGCTGTCCCCTTTCTGCTATAGTACATTGTTGCTCACTAGAGCACCTCCAGGGGAAAATTACTCTTCAAAGGCTTTTAAAGAATGCCTATACATATAGTAACATTATTTGAAAGCCTTTTGAAAAGCCAGCGTTGTTGCTCTCGGCTATCAGTCTTTGTGTTCTATGCCCCAGCCTGAATGACAAAATGGCAGCATGTGATAATACTTTTATCAGCTTCCATTAAAAGAAAAAAAAACTGTTAAAAGAATACTGCAAAGTCAAGCACTTAAAAGTTAAGAAATGCCAAGGAAAGCTGCCTTGCACAACTTTAATTCTACCCCCTTGTGGGTCTACATTATGCTACAGTTTTTAATTACGTGATCACATCAGTGGGGCCTGGGAGCACTCTGAGTGCAGTTGGAATACTCAGAAAATTAATTCTATGGAGCATGTACAAATGGTGATTTTCCTGCTGCATATAACTCACTCTAATCTGAACAAAATTTCACCAGGATAGCAAAAGGTACTACTTTGATGTTATAACTAGATCCTTGACAAATATAAACTTTACACAACCCCCCTCCTCCAAAATCCTCCGAGGTGCTAGAATGGTTCAAAACTATGGTAGGAAATGTGTTTAAACACAAGCATAATGATCTATTTTTCACCAGTCCCAGACAAGGTTGCAACAGATCTGCTCAAAACTTAAAACAACAATTTGAGGCAGAGACCAAGCACTGAATAATTTCAGTGAAAGTTACACAACTGAAAATAGGTTAAAATGGAAAATGTTAGACTCCCCTTAACTATAGGTGTCACACTACTGCTCCTCCTATAAATTAGCATAAATAGATTCTGGCAAGGAAATTCAGCAGCATACCTGTAAAGTTTAGAATGCCAGTTCCAATTTGTGTGCTACAGTGAAGTAGTTATCTTTTGTTTACAACTTTTAATTAATTTAAATTGTAATAAGGGAAAAGAGAGAAACATGAAATAAAGAAAATAGTGAGCATTGACAGATTTGGAGCTGTATCCATTACAAGTACTGTGGTACAGTGTAACAAAATGTTAGTAGTATTTGTAGCACTGTGTGTATTCATATAAACATATAAGTCAAAGATCTCCCGCCCTCAAAAAAGGCTCAAATAGAGTCCATAACAGCATCCACCAATGTTCAGTAATTCTCCCCCCGACCCCAATTCAGCATATGCCTAACCAGGAGTACTGGAAGCTCCCTAGAAGTGAGGGGGCCACCGGCACCAGAACCATTGCCTTTCCCCACTCTGCCCTCCCCCAAACCGTTCCTTCCTCCCTGCTCACCCTTAAGGCAAGTAAAAAGTGATGGAGACATGGTCCCCTGGCGCTTCAGTTCCAGCACCCATGTGCCTAATTTTAAACACGTGAGTAGTCCCACCGACTTCTGTAATGCATGCTGAATCTGGACCTCTATTATTTTAGGAAGTTCCAAGCTTATGGAAAAATTAATTTTAGCAAACCAATACTGGCTCTGCAAAACACATGGAATATATTTCAAGAAAACAGTCTCATCAGTGTTTCAATTAAATATTTTTATTTCGCTGGGAAGATTCAATACCTGGGAGGCCTTTAAGTGCAGAAACATAACTGTGGTTCTTTGCACAATAAGTTTCCTACCAAAAAATAAAAATAAAAACTGGGCCTGATTCTTCTCCTGCAGGTTTAACTCCAGCATAAATTGCCTGACTCCAGTGCAAGTGACAGGAGAATCAGGGCCGATGCCTGATATTGGTGATTTTATTTTTAGGATGTCATAGGCCACAATCCCAGTGCTCCCACTGAAGTGAGTGGAAGTAAAAGCAGGCCCTGTGTTTGTATATTAATAGGAATCCAGAAATTAAATCTAATACATTCTTATAGCATTTCATAATCCATGAGACACTTCGCATCCAGTAAGTGCTAAAAGCAGATGAGGATCAGTGGATCACATAATAATTGGAGCATATATTGATATTGATATGGTTCTCCCCTTCGGCCATCAAGAGGCCGAAGGGGAGAACCATAAATTAATAGTTGACCACGAAGCAGAGAAATTGCCTGTGGGGTAGGACTGTAGACACATGAAAGTACACTCCTTCAAGCTGAAGGCAGCGTACCAGTCCCCCAGATTCAGGGAGGGGATAATGGAAGCCAGGGAGACAATGCGGAACTTCATCTTCTTTATAAATCTATTGAGGTTTCGCAGGTCTAAAATAGGCCTGAACCCACCTTTGGGATGAGTAAATACTGGGAGTGGAACCCATTGCCCCTGAATGTCAAAGGGATCTCCTCTACCACCCGAGTTATAGGAGCGTATGCACCTCCTGCATGAGGAGTTGCTCGTGAGAAGGGTCCCTGAAGAGGGACAGGGAACAGGGGTGGGAAGGCAGGAGGGAACAGAATATCCCAATTCTACCATGTTCAAGACCCATTGGTCTGAGTAATTAGCAACTAGACATGGTAGAACTGGGATAGACTATCCACGAAAGGGGGGGAATGATCCGAGATCTGGTCTGGTGCATCACTCTTGGGCACACCCTCAAAAGTTTTGCTTAGGGGCTAAGGACTGCCTCGCTGAGCCCTCACCCTGATTAGAGGAGGACTGAGGAGGTCTACGTCTATTATTTCTGCCCCTTCCTGCTGTAATCCTGCCTCGGATGAGCAGGGTAGAACCGAGGGGTAGGCTGCGGCTTAAAATGTTTCCTTTGAGGCGCTGGTATATGAAGCCCCTGAGACGTCAATGTTTCCTGCAAGTCTTTGAGGCTGTGAAGCTCAGAGGCTATTTGCTCCAAGAAAAGCTCTGAGCAGTCAAAGGGCAAGTCCTTAATTGTCCGCTGAACCTCGTATGGGAGGCCTGAAGCTACGAGCTCCTTCCCATGACTATGGCTGTTGACACAATCTGGGTTGCCGAGTCAGCAGAATTCAGAGAAGCCTTCAAGGAGGTTCTCTCAATGACCTTGCCCTCTTTGAGAATGGCCACAAACTCTGATCCTGAGTCAGATGGAAGCAGCTCCTTGAACTTGGACAGCACA